TACATGCAAGTTCGGCTGTTAGCAGCTAGGGACAAGCCATATTTCTATGGCCGGTCCTTTCATCTGCCGGTTTGGAGGGATCGCCAACTCTAACGGGAGAGTTGCTGCTCTCCCACGATCCAGCGAAAGCCCCTCCTTGCTGGTTGCCTCTTCAGGGCTGCTTTCGGTCCTTTTCAGGGCCCCCTAGCGATGCGAAATTGAACAGGGGAGAGAGAGCAAATCTCCCAGCCGTCCATGGTGGCCGCATGACAAACCGGAAGCCGACATTTTAATTCTTACTTGGAAAATGTGGAAGTTCTATTTATAAATAATCTCATGTGCATAAATATACTAGATTATTTTAAAAAATATGGGGATTCATATCCCCTTCTTAGATTCAGTATACCACAATTTCTGATGATCCCCAAACCATTCAGAATTTTTTTTTAAAAAAAATCATAAAATGCAAGCACTTGATCCTTCAAATGTCCTATCTTTATCTGATTTATGCTTGAGCAATTCACTGGCCAAAGCCCAAAATACACTGAGCAATTAAACACCAATTTGGAAACTGAAATGAATACATTTTGTTTAGCACCTTGGGTTCTGCAGTGATTCCAGTAATCAGCAGGTTGATTTGGCAAGTTTCCAGCCTCAAAATGAATTTATATCTAAGTGTCTCAAAAGTTAGAGCTGATATGTTTTTATTGCATTTGCTATTTGTATATTTAATTTCACTCTGTATTGTAAATCGCCTAGAGAATTTTTTTTGTTCTGAAGTAGCCTATAAACAGTATTCCAAAGGGAGATGCATAAATTTGTTATTCCCAAAAAGGGGGAAAATGTAAGCATGCTAATTATGGCACAAACTTTTATTGATAAATTGTTGACATGAGTTCTTGGAAAACAGCTGTACCGTATATCAGATTTGGAGAGAATGAAAAGCTAAGATTTGTAAAAAAAACAAACAAAAAAACCTCCCAGAATTCTCACCACTTTAATCACACTACAAATTTGCATGATCATTTAGGCAAAATAGTTCAATAGTACTAGATAAATCATATATCAGATATATCTTAAAATTATTGCCTTTGGATATCTAGTGGGATACCACCAATAGAGAAAAGAAATGAAGTTCCAAAGGGAATGAAAAAATTAGCATTATGAAAAAATAGCATTAACCACTATAGAACAACACAACATGGATTATATGTTCCATGAACCATGGTTGATAAAGAAACATAATATTCTAACAATGTAGGATACTAGCCTGACCAAAGAGAGCATAAGCTTGGATCACAAGCCTATTTATTCTAGTGCCTTTTTGAGATCACAAGAATAAACTAGAGAGCAATCTCATGTATGCTTTTCAAAAGAATACCTGTTACCCGTTCAATAATTTGACATGAGCTTTGATTTACCTTTATAAAACTCAAAACACACATCTTAGAAATTTATATTTGTACAAAAGACTAATTCAAACAGTCAAGTGAATTTAAAAATGGATAATCTAAATGGATTCAAAAAATGTCAGTGGACAGCTTGCATTTTCCTTGTATGCTACATTTTATAAAAAGGTAACAAAATCTCAACAATCCAATGTGCAGACAACCCTTTTAAAAATGGTTGGGAAAATGCATTGTGATCTTGCTCTACTTTCTTGCTAAACTGCTCGCACGAATTAGCAGCAAATATAAATCCAGAAAAGCTCTGCCTCTAAAAATAAAACCTAGGTAGAATAATCTGTGCATCTAATGAGTAGATAATAGCTTTTAAACTATAAGCTGGAGAGCAAGAAAAGAAATATTTGCATTTTTTTTTAGCAAAAGTACTTAATTCTGAAAGAAAAACTGAGCTACAGATGGGTATTTTGAACCTGGAATTTTACTGTAACTATAGTTGGCATGCTGAAGCTAAGAATTTGAGCAGTATGAGAAAAATGGTGCTAATCCTTAAATCCAAGGTTATGAATGACTGAACTCTGGGAGGATGAAAGTTCGAATCTGCACAGAAGTTCACTTCTGATCTTCTCTAGGGACTCACTGATAAACATATAAAGCCCGGTGGAATAATGGAACTCTACCTAGTTTGACCCTGTTTCGTCGTATTGGTAAGCATTCTTATGGCAATCAACTGCATCTGTAAAAGGCCACTTTAATTGCACACTTCCAACATGTGGGCTAGGTTTCTTGGTTAGTTAAATTTTAAAGGCCTGCCTTCATAGGTGTTTTAGCAGAAGTATTATTACATAATAAAGAACAAAGGAGTCTCAGTCAATCAAGTTCCCACTGGGAAATCCTATAGAGAGTGAGGGCAACCTTTACTCTGCTCAAATAGCCGGCCCCTGGTGGCACAGGGGTTTTGATCAAGACGACAGAATTAGCCCAGCATGTCTCGGCAGACCCAATTCGCATTCAGAAATGAACAATCAAAGAGAAGGAATATCCTTTTGTAATCTTTGCTTCCAAGCCCATCTAACAGCACCTGAGGCTTTTTTTCTGCTGAACTGAGGGAAGAGACTGGTTTCTACACATAACCTGGCAGGTTTGTTCAAATTCATAGCCTCTCCTGTTCAACCGATCTGTTTGGATCTGTTTGTATTTGGTCTTTAATATGGGAAGCAGAGGGAGGAAGGAAAGGTAAATGACAACAGGATGATGCAATACACAGAAGGGAATGAATCTTTCCATTTGCTTGATATCCCTGTTTGCACTGCAGTAAACAGAAACCAATTAATAAGGACCTTGTTTCATTCTAAAAAAAAAAAATTTAAAAAAAGCACATCACAAAGTGAGCAATGTAAAAAATTGAACTATTAGGATTTTCTCCAAAGAAAAATGGGAAATATATTCCTACAGGCTTATTAAATATCAACTATCTTAGAAAACCAATGTCCCAAGTAAAAGAAGTAGAGAACAGGGCAGCAGTTATTTATTTTGTTGTATTTATATCCTGTCTTTCTTCTGGAGGCTCAAAGTTCCATACAAGAATTCACCTTTGTAGTTTGTAAGTTATTGTTGCAACACACTGAGGAAGAAGATAGTGACCAGCCCTCTGAATTTCAGGGCTGAGTGGCTTTAAAATTGATTTTCTTTCTTTCTGGTAGTTTAGCACACTACTCACAACAGGGCAAAATTCTGAAAGACCGAAGCCAGGGAATTTATGCCCGGCTTATCTATTACAACTGGTGCCTGGTATAAGCCTTTATGATGTCATGTGCAACCTGACATCACACAAATGATGCAGATTCTGTAATTTGCACATATTACATAATCCATGTCATTGTGTGATGTCATAATACCCATCACTCCCATCTCCTCCCACTTGCAAAAGTTGATGTCTGCTATCATCTTTAAGTTTCCCTTAGCCATCTTTACCGTAATATATTTTATCATGCTCTTAAACCTACTTTCCTTTTCTATCAAAGAGAAAAAATTTCCTTTCCATAAGATGCCTAATTAAATCAACAGAGGAAGCGGTAAGGATGATGTCAGTAAAAAGGATCATGTCAATCCATTTAAATTTCAGTTAAAATGGACTTACTAATGCACAGAGTTAAACTAACTAACCTGTGTCATGGGAATACTTAAACTGGTCCATTCACCTATCTTGCATATTTATTCAAAGCAAATTTTCTGGAAAAGATTCTATAGCTGAAAAAACAGCACTTGCTACAAAGGTCAGGCAACACACATCATAACTTCCAAACATTATTGATGCCTTCCTAACCATCTGAGAAAGAACCAATGATGTTGTGAGATGTAAAAACCCCAAATTTTGATACTCACAATACGAAGACAAGTCTGGTTAACAAAACAAAGGTTTATTGGAGAATAACAGAAACAGAATAAAAGAGAAAAGAGAAAGAATAGAAGAGATGAGCGTTTGCAAACGCGGCCCCCTGGATCCTTCCCTATGGATTGGATTCCAGGAGCACACTGGCCTGGTTTCAGGTTTTGCATTTTATAGCCCTACAATGCATTGTCACATCTCTTTCATCTTAGTGGTTTTCTCTGAAGTGGTACTTTGTTAACCTGACCTCTTCCGTCCATCTGCTGTTATCTTTTTTATCTGGAATTCTCACTTTGGGTTAAAATCCCCTTCTTTGATAGTAGGATTTCCACTTAAAGTGTAATTTCCTATGTCCGGGAGATTTTTAGGCAGGATATAGTAAACATTTGGTCATATATTGGCATTGCATTGTTACATTTGTGTTACAGCATTACATTAGTACTAAAGAGACAGTTTCATATAATGGCATTACATTTCTACAATTATTTCTACAATTATTAAAAGAATAACTTTTATTTCCTTAACTTTTATTTCCTTCAATCCCCCCTTTTTCTTTTCCACCTGAATTTATTCTTTTATACTTTTAACAGTTCATAACTTCCTATATTTTCTTTAGATTCCTGTGCAAGCAAGTTTTCATATTCTGAGTCTTCTTTCCCCAATGTTCCTTAAAGTATTGGGCCCATGGTCCTTCCTTCTACTAAAGAAAGTACTAAGGAAACAACAGTAGCAGAAGAAAAACTTTTCAACACATAGTCTAGGTTCTAGGAACACGTCCAATCCATTGAAGTTTTTCTCCCACTTAGATGGAAACAATTCAACAGGTAAGGCAGGTTGAAATTTCATTTTCAGGCCGTCCAGCTGCAGAGTTTGTCACTGGAGAGGATATGATGGGACTTTCCATGGACTCACGCCTTGATTCCTTAAATCAGGAGGACTTGGCATGATTGAGACCACTCAGGACTGGTATTTCTAGGTGACAGTTCTTTTCACCTGAATCCACTCTCCAGGAACAATGGCCAGAGACAGGTGGTAAGGCAGCCTGGGCCTGTACTGAGATAGAAGACAAAACCTGCACCACATTATGCAAACGCTGAGTAACTTTCTTCTCTTCTTCATTGACATTTTTGAACCTTCATGTAACAAAAGCCTCCCATTTCAAAGAAACAAAAACAACTTTCCAGTTGAGGCCTATATTGACATGGCCTCACCACTAAATGTTGTAAAGCTTTTTTTTTTTAACTTGAATTTTATCACATATTTGTTTAACTAAAATATAAATACAACCATCCTGTTGTAGAAAATATTAATCATCCCTTGTGACCCCCCTTCAGTGGCTGCTTCTGTGTTCTAGCCATTGTTTTGTTGTTGTTTTTTTCTTTTTTCTTTTCAACATCCCTCTCCCATCTTGCAACATCCACCTCCCATCTTTAGTACATTCTTATTCCTTCAACATTCTAAGGCTTGTGTTAAGGCATACAATTCACACGTTTGGGCTGACCACTTTAATGGCAGTCTCCCTGCTTAATGCATGCAATTCACAAGTCTGTGCAAACAAACTTAAAACAACTTTCCTGTTTCTTTCTTTTATTAACCATTCCTTCCTTCCCTTCTGCCACTCTAGCATAACTTTTCTTTTTTTTCTTCTTCCACCAGTATTCAAAACTCCATAAACATACTTGGAGTCAGTGTATATTTTCTCCTTCTCCCTTTGTCATTTTTACACATTGCTTACATGATTCTAATAGTTGGATAGGTTTTAAGAGTATAATAAGAAACTACCCCCCCAGACATACCATCTTGTAATGTTCCAATACATCTTCTAAGACTTAATATCACACTCTATCTCACACCCTGTGCACTGAACACAATTAATACAGTGAGAGCAGCAACAACACCCACAAAGATACCCACAAAATCAGCACATGCGGGAGGTCTTGGTTTTCCTTTGGTTCTAGATAGAAAAAGAAATATAAAGTTTAGTTCTTTTTCCTCTATTACCCCCCTTTCTGTCAGGAAGATTGACTATTAGTCCATGAAGTCCTTCGGAACTTTAGCTTCAGTGAATCTCCTTGGTGAGATTCCACCTTCCACTCCTCTGGGGCTGGCACAGGCCCTTTTACTTGGGAGTAATGGTCCAACCTTTTTCAGCTGTCCTGATAGCTGTCTCAGTGGTTAACAAGATGATGTAAAGTCCTTCCCAGGTTGGAGTTAGTTTTTCCTCTCTCCAGGCTTTTATCAACACCCACTGTCCTGCTTTGTATTGGTGTACTACAAAGTCCAAGGAGTTTGGGCAAGAATGCCTTTCTGTTGCAGGAGAGAAAAACACCTGGACAGTTCAAGTACATATTTTCTAATTATTTTATCTTTTAATTCAATTCTTGGTAATCCCTCCTTCCCCATCTACTATCGTATCTTCATTATGTCTCTTTTTCTTGTTCTTTTCTTTTCTCAACCACTTTGCTATGAACAAGTGTATACCTCCTTTAGGCTTCCTGATTAAAATTGTCTACACTTGATAAGAAATGCTAACCACCAAGATGTTCCCAAATGTCAATTTTAGATAAAAATGCCACTGGCTGCCTTCCCCCCCCCCACTTCTGGGACAAAACCTCCTCCAACCTTTGTCCTTGTTTATAAATAAATTACCTAGCGAAGAACCAACAAAGGAGAGCTCACCAAACCCTGTTTGCATTTGTTAACACAAGCTCTTTTTCTAACAGTTTTGCATACTAATCTTTACTCAAAACAGCATAGCTATTTATAATCCCAAAATTTTTCTCAACTTCTTTGTTTTAACTTCACACAAAAAATAAACAAGTTTAATAAGATATTCTGAGTTAGTGAAATAGTTTTTTTTTAAACTCTAGTATTGCTTTTAATATAAAGTTAGTTAAATTCCAATTTAATCAAATTCCATTCAGATGGAAACAGATTTCCATTAAATTTCCATTAAATAGGAAGAACATTTACAAATCTAAGCAAACAATTTTGAATCATTTCTTTTGGTTGATATTAAACAATTTAAACTCAAAAATTTCCCCCAAAAAAGTTGTCCAACAATTACTGACCCCTCTTTTGAATAGAAAAAAAATGCAAAAGTGGGCATTAAATTTTCACAGCCACCCCACCTTTCTCAAACCTGAATTCTAAGCAGAGAAAAAGTTAAAAAGATCAACCCCCCCCTTCTCCTTTCTCTCTCTCTTCCTCTCAAAGCAACACAGCCAGAAAAAGCAGGGGGGAGGGGGTTGTGTCTGCAGATAGAGTTTGAAAAGGCATTAACACACTTAACATTTGCAAAAGGGAGAGAGCAGAATAGGCAAGAAAATGATATAGGATTTCCTGCCTGAGCAGGTCAGGTAACTTTGGGCTGTTCTTAAGAGGGAGAGAAAAAAATAAATAAACAAACACATCTTTCTTCACTTTGTTTGTTGGCCAGACAAACAGAGTGAAGTTATTTCTTTTGGTATCTTCTTTTCTCTTGAGGTTAGTAACAGTCATATTTACTTCACACACAAAGACTCTGACACACATATACGTACCAAGACAAGGAAAAGAGAACAGAAAACTGCTTGGGAAAAAGGTCTTCTCACTCATACACAGAGACAAACACACATTTCTCTCATTCCCCTTATTTCCCAAAACTTCCTTTTCTACCCTAGCTCCACATGGGAAACCCATTCACAGACACAAGGCATCTGCTGCTAGCAAGATGGGTTTTCCTGTTTGAAGCTACTCAATTTTACAGTTTTTTTCTTTAGGTTTACAACAACGACTTACAACAACAACCCATCTTCTTGAGAGTTTTCCTGATTATGGTTCCCTGAGGTTCTCGATTTGACGGCCACTCAAAACTCTTAACACCAGTTTGCTTCCCTTCAGGATTGCCTTCCCCCTTGCGGGAGTAAGGGATCTCAACCTTTCAGGTCCATACTCCTCTGGACTTACCAGTGTTCCCAGAACACAGCCCATCACACTTACACAGCCGTTATCGCAGAAATCCTCCCACAATCGCTCTCCTGACCACCTAGGTACAATTGCATGCGTCCCTCCTTCGGGGCAAAAGTTCCTTACCTGGGCCAGTGCACTGGGTTACCTGGTCTGGGCTTCAGTTGTTGACTTTCTTCCTATTTCCTGTCCTTTGATTTTTGTAAACCAGAGTTGTCAATTTAGTTTGGCTCGGAGCCTGCAAAGGGAAACTAGATCTCAGATAACTTCAGGCAGTTGAAATCAACAGGCGCGCTCCTGATTTTACTGAGACCAGTGTCCCCTAGAAGCTCTTAATGCCCGCATCCTCCACCAAGATTGTGAGATGTAAAAACCCCAAATTTTGATACTCACAATAGGAAGACAAGTCTGGTTAACAAAACAAAGGTTTATTGGAGAATAACAGAAACAGAATAAAAGAGAAAAGAGAAAGAATAGAAGAGAGGAACGTTTGCAAACGCGGCCCCCTGGATCCTTCCCTATGGATTGGATTCCAGGAGCACACTGGCCTGGTTTCAGGTTTTGCATTTTATAGCCCTACAATGCATTGTCACATCTCTTTCATCTTAGTGGTTTTCTCTGAAGTGGTACTTTGTTAACCTGACCTCTTCCGTCCATCTGCTGTTATCTTTTTTATCTGGAATTCTCACTTTGGGTTAAAATCCCCTTCTTTGATAGTAGGATTTCCACTTAAAGTGTAATTTCCTATGTCCGGGAGATTTTTAGGCAGGATATAGTAAACATTTGGTCATATATTGGCATTGCATTGTTACATTTGTGTTACAGCATTACATTAGTACTAAAGAGACAGTTTCATATAATGGCATTACATTTCTACAATTATTTCTACAATTATTAAAAGAATAACTTTTATTTCCTTAATTTTTATTTCCTTCAATGTAATATAGCCTTGTTCTATATTCCCCAAGTTGTATTTTTTTCTTTAATTTGGTAGGATTGTGTGTGGTCAGAACTATTAAAGATTTGACTGGTTTAATGACTGCTTTGAATTAAACAGGTTATCAGAACAAGACCATTTATCTCTAGTCAAGGGGAAACTCTGTTCCTTCAATATGCTAAAGCTATACTTTTCCTAATGACTATACACACATTTCCACTGGAATTCCTCAATTTTTTTTTGAAGTATTCACAATCAGTGGATACAATATTTGCTTTTCTAGCTTTTTAAACAAAGTATTTTTTCTTTTTTTTCTCATTTACCTAAAAATAAATTTTAAGTGAGAGCCAAGATCATTCCAAAATTAGAAAATAATTACTGCTGGTAGTATTGTCATTCCTATGCAGGAGCAAAACCTAATATATGTCCAGATTGAATATCTAGGCTTCCTTGAACATTTTAATTGGGATGTAAATTGATTAATGAGAAGGGCTCAAGAGCCTGAACATTCTTGAAGTATAACATAAAATGTTCCAGGGCACAAGAGTATGATCACCAGTAGTTTACTCAACCCTCATTCTTTCAATAATATCACCAATATATACTGTAGATGTCCAGCATTATGAAGAGAATTTGGCACATAACAAGGACTTCAAATGCATATTGGAGCAATAAAATGCATATTCATCAACAAACACTCAAATCACATATATTTATTGTCAGATTTAATTACCAAAGGCTTTCTAAATAAAAATGCTAGAGCATTATAGTTATTGTTAAAGGCCCTGAAATAGGAACCAGGTAGTTATGACTTCTAGTTCTGCCTTAGGCACAAGTCCCTCTCTTTCAGCACTAGGAAAAAGGCAATGGTAACTACTTTCAAAAGTATTGCCAAGAAAACTGCATACGTGGCTGCATTCACACATTGCATTAGTCATAAAATGGTTAGTTTGGTTTTACATTATACAAGATCAGGCAATTATATACCAACAAAATGTAACTGATCTCTAATCCATTTTCAGGAAAGAATAAGGTACAGATAATCCTTATGACCAGAACAATTTCCATTGTTGTGATCATAAATCAAAGTTGGCCTTACAATAATTTTTACAGCAGTAGTTAAGGGAATTATATGGTTGTTAAATGTATCCAACTTTCCCATGGTTTTTTTTGTTGGAAATCAACAAAAAGGTTACAAATTGCAATCATGTGACCTTAAAACACTGCAATCATGTGTAAATGCAAGGCTGGTTGCCAAGTGCTGAACTGTGGTCATATGACCACGAGGGAGGGGCAATGATCATAACTGACAGTACAGGTTGTAAGTTACTTTTTCCAAGTTCATCATACCTCTGAACCATTGTTAATCAGTTGTAAGTTGACTACTTGTAACGGGTGTAGCATCAAGTCAGAGTATAAAACTTTAAGCTTAATTAAATTATTTTGTCCTTATATGTGTAATCTATCGTTGTCTAATTGATCATGATGTTGATCCATCAAAATTTTAAAAAAATTGCATTTATAAATACAGCATTTATAAAAATATCAGATTTAGATCTATTTCATTATTTTCAAGAGTGGGATCCATTACCAAAGCTAGATCCATCCTTAGCATTTTATTTTTAAAAAGTAATGAAACTTGGAATTTGCTGTCCACAGTGTCAGCTGTAATTTGAACTTTACTCCTAGTTTCCTCCAAAGCTTGGAGCAACTCATTTTGCTCCCTATCAATATTCATCTCTACAGAAACCTTCCTCTGAGATGGGATAGGAAATCCATCAATGATTCATCCAATATCAAACAGGAGTCTTCTGTTAGCCCAAAGATTAAATCTGATGTCTCACATTTCAAACATTTAAATGGTACTTGTCTTTATTGCAGACAGAATAAACAAACAAACCTTAAGAGGGATCTTATTCTCTTGAAGGCATTCTTCTATTACAAATAGCAACTAAGAAAGGATGAAAGAATAGATAGGCCCTCTCTTCCTTCAAAAGCATGCATTTTAATTGCACAAATTGAATCAATAGCACATCCATTTATTTGGGTATTTTAGAAATGTAATAGCTATTTTACATAGCTCAATTTTATAGTAGAGAAAAAAGCCATGGAACAAATACTTTTTATCCAATCTGAATCAAAGCACTATAGAATTTGGTTAGTATTATTTATACTACCATTTGATTATTATTTATACTACTTTCCTTTGGCTTGTCTTTATATTGGTAATCAGACCTCTATCTCCTGAGAGTGAAAAACCCTGATATGCTGATATTTTTTAGAATTGGGCAAGTTAGCCCTATGTTTGGAATATTTAATAGATGAGAATTCACCTTTGTTCCCCACTGTAAGAAATAAGTTAATTCCACACAGTACTTTATCTGAAGAAAATTGCAGCATTTCTTTATGACTCAAGTACAGAATAATGTCTAGAATACTTTGGTCAATACTTTTTTGATTTGTAGCTAAACTTCTGTCATAAGATGCAAGGTGCAGTGTTTGAGTAGCACAACAGTCAAGTCTTTCTTAAGAGGTAGTCTTTGGCCTAAGTTTTATGAAACTGAAATAATTGCTCTCAAGACGATGAAAACTGAAAAAAAAAGCATGCCCAATCACAATGATCTTCTCTACAATATAATCTGAAATCCAGGTAAGTAGTTATATGTAACTTGCTTAGATTATAGCAATTTTATTTGACCTTTTCTATGTGTGATTGCTGCTTTCCTTTGTTGATCCCAATCTCTTGCATACCTGTTTAAAAATATTAACACCACAATATAATATTACTGGTATTCACATTACTCTAATGCAGTGGTTCTCAACCTGTGGGTCGGGACCCCATTTGGGGTCGAACGACCATTTCACAGGGGTCGCCAAACAACGCAGTCCACCATTTTTTTCCCCTTTTCCTTAGCTGTGCTACTCCCTTTTATTCTATTGGCTTTTGAAAGCCAATAGAATAGACTCTCTTGAATAGAGTCTAATTCTATTGGCTTTCAAAAGCCAATAGGAATGTCCAGGCTGTCTCTGCCCTGCTGAGCCCGCCAAAAGTCCTATTCTGCAAATGGTACTGCACCAGTTGAGTAGTCCTTGACTTACGACCGGTTGAGTAGTCCTCAACTTATGACCGGTTGGGGGTCGCGGCATTAAAAAGGTTGAGAATCACTGCTCTAATGTAATACTTAAGAAAGTGTGTTAAAACTGATATGAGTCAGTGTCTTCTTCATTCAGTAAAAGCATAGCATTATAACAAAATATTTCACTGTCCAGTAATAAACTATTGGAAAGAATCTCAAGCATATCATTAATCTTCTTTGTACATAATGAATTATACATTTTCATCGATTTTTATCTGTCAATCTCAATCTCTACTTATATAAAAGATTCAATAGTACAGAAACTTCTGGAGAGATGTTCTAACCTGCCTATCCAAGGACAACAAAATGCACAGATTCATTAATGCGTTAAATCTAAACACTGTCAATATAACTTACATAGAGTGGTTGTTCTGAAGGAATATGTCAATCACACCACAAAGTGCTTTCAGTTTTAATTTCAGCTGTTTCAACAGTATAAATTTCATATTACAAGTGCTGAAACCTGCTAAAAACACTGTATAATATTTAACCACTCTTGGCATTGTATATTTTATTACACAGATGCTGGGCCAATTCACTCCATTATTTTAGTTTGCAAACAGAAACCCAAGAGCTTCAGGTCAACCAGCTGCACAGTGTCCTATGGCTGGATTTACAATGGGAAGCCAAATTCAAAGGAGCATATCATGTCTTAGAGAAGAGTACTGCATGCAGTACCCAGAACACTTTCATCTTATAATTCCTGAAAGCTGATCTTAGCTTCTACAATTCTTAATTGGGAAACATATAAAAGCTATCCGGCAAACCCTAAAGTAAGAATAGGATGCATATTTCTTTTCTTTTTTTAAATGAAATGATGTAGTCCTATCTGTTTTCCAGTCCTCCAAACCAAAGTATGTTCCTTATCCATTAAAATGTTATCTATTCTTGTCCTGGTATATTGTACAAATTATGGTTTATCCATACTGTATTTAAATCAAAATGGAAATCTAGTCTTTATTGCAGCAACTTGTCCTCAGACCATACACTGACTCAGAACATTGCCATGACTTAAGCATCCTATACCTTGATGTATTTAGTCAAATCAAACTGATGATCCGCACTGCATCTTGTGGCAATGGGTGAACTTTGGTGGGAATGAGTTATCCTAAAGAATCTGACATTATATTACATGTAATCCTCAATTTATGATCATAATGGAGCCTGACAACTATCATCACAAGTCATACTGGTCATTAAACAAGGTACCAATGTGATTGTCTCACTTAATGATCTCAATCTCTGGTCTCCCTACTGTGATTTTTAAGTCACTGTGTGGGTTAAGTGGAGCATTGGGTGCCTCGGGAAGGGGAGGCCCTGGGAAGCCTAGCACAGCCCCAGGCTCGCACTGCAGCATCTTCCCTACCTGTTCTAAAGCATGCAATTTTTAATATTGTCACTATTTTTGTAGCCAGTTGCACTGTATAACAGTTCATTTTTGTTTTCCCCCCCTCAAAGTACAATTTGACAAATAGTGATCTTTGAAAGGAAAATGACTATTGAATACCCCATTTAACAAATGAATGCACTACATATTTTTGAAGAAGTTACGTATACCATCTTATCTGTTCACTTGCAAGGAACTTGGATTTTTTTATTGTTGCTACATATAGCATTGTGTACACTAAGCTGTCCACTCTGCTTACACATTCTCCAAATATCCCTTCCAAGTGGGAAATTTATCATTGGGCCAATACATAGAAAACTGAGAGAATATCTGTTCTACAGTTAGAGGTCTTACAGAAATAATATTATCTGCTTCCACTTCACTGCTTAAGAAAGAGACTGAAGGAGGAAAATACCTAAAATTTGTTTCCCCAATGCTAGCAAGAAATGTTAATGATGCATTTACTATTCTCTTTTGTTCTCTTCCAGTTTCTTTATCTGCTGAAAGGCCTAACTCAGGGGTAGGCAACCCAAAACACTCAAAGAGCCACTTGGACCCGTTTCCCACCGAAAACAAAACACCGAGAGCCGCAAAACTCTTGATATCTAAAATGAAGATAACACTGCATATATCCTTTTTTACCTTTATTATAGGGGTGTGTGTGTGTGTGTGTGTGTGTGTGTGTGTGTGTATACACACACACAGGTAAAAAAGGATATATGCAGTGTTTTCATTTTAGATGTCAAAAGGGTCTCTCTCTCTCTCTCTCTCTCCCTCCCTCTCTATCTGCCCTTGGTCTGCCAGTCCTCTTCCCCCACTCTTTCTTTCTCTCTCTCTCTTTCCTCTCTCTCTCTCTCTCTCTCTCTCTCCCTCCCTCCCTCCCCCCCCTCTCTCCTATCTGCTGCTCACCTGGCAAGCTGGCTTCAAGTTGTTCTCCAATAACCTCAGGGGTAGGCAACCTCGGCTCTTTTATGACTCATGGACTTCAAATCCCACAATTCCTGAGTCAGCATAGCTCCCTCCTGCCCTTCCTGCTTCCTGCAGAGATGCAGCTCCGCCCAATAAGCCTTTCAGCTCCTCAGAGAACACTGTGAGTGCACTCTCTTTTACACATACACACAAACACACACACACACAGAGAGAGAGAGAGAGACAGAGAAAGAAGCAGGGAAGCGCAATTGCCTCTCTCTGTCTCTGTCTCTCTCTGCAAATGGCAGAGGAGGCTGGGAGCCACAGGGGAAGGCTCAAAGAGCCACATGCGGCTTCAGAGCCGCAGGTTGCCGACCTGTGGCCTAACTGCTCTATCACCATGTTAGTACATGGATGATTTACATACAGTAAGTTTATATAGGTCGTTATATATTATTAGTCACCATCAAAGCTAGGTCGTTATATATTATTAGTCATCAGATCATATAAAAACGTAAAGAAGTATACAAGATCAGAAGATGTGGTGAGATCTGGCCAAACATCAGACACAACTGAATAGATATCATCATGATCATGATCATGATCATCATGATCATCATATTATTATTAGTAGTAGTAGTAGTAGGAGGAGGGGGAGGAGGAGTCGTAGTATGTACAGTTACAAGGACACCAGGCAAACTCTATTATTATTTAGATTTGCCAACAACGGGTAGGGGAACAAATACTGCATTTCAAAAACACTTTTTTTTCTCAACAAGATGCTCTAAATGCAATCAACTATTTTCAGTTTATCAAATTGTCCAAGTATATTAAACTTAATTCTTACTGCATATGCAAGATATTGTCAACTAAACATACGAACAAGACAATTCATCTTTTCATGAATTGCCATTCTCTATCACTCCTACTCTTACTTCATCTTTTGCAGATGCTGTTCTCATCAATGGCTGCTTTCTTCTTCCAAATGGTCAAACAATGCCAAGTGTAATTCCCAAAGGAACCCTACCCTTCAAAAAGCAGTATTCTGGAAATTATAACTTAAAATATTAAAAATTCTGGCTGGAAAAAGATAAATTGTAATTTCAGTGATAAAAAACAGTAATCATCTCTGTTTCAAATGTTACTTTACTCTGTCCTCTGCCATGCAGTCAAAAGTAGTTTTGACTAATTCCCATTATAATTCGATGTTATGCATAGTCCTTGGTTTATTGGAACTGGAATTTCCATTATAAGCAATGTGGTCATAAAGTGCAAGTGCATCTGTCAGATCTGCCCCAATCTGATCCCTTAGGGAAGTAAACTCTCAACTCCATTTGATCGAAATGAAAAGGCACTTTTACTAAAACATTAATTGCAATAAAGACAAGTGGAATCTAAAATTCCCGCTTGTCAATACAGAACTAAACTCCTGGTTTCCCCTAGCCCACAGGTCGGCAACCTGCGGCTCTGAAGCCGCATGTGGCTCTTTGAGCCTTCCCCTGTGGCTCCCAGCCTCCTCTGCCATTTGCAGAGAGAGACAGAGACAGAGAGAGGCAATTGCGCTTCCCTGCTTCTTTCTCTGTCTGTCTCTCTCTCTCTCTCTCTCTCTCTCTCTCTCTGTGTGTGTGTTTGTGTGTATGTGTAAAAGAGAGTGCACTCACAGTGTTCTCTGAGGAGCTGAAAGGCTTATTGGGCGGAGCTGCATCTCTGCAGGAAGTAGGAAGGGCAGAAGGGAGCTATGCTGACTCAGGAATTCTGGGAGTTGAAGTCCATGAGTCATAAAAGAGCCGAGGTTGCCTACCCCTGAGGTTGTTGGAGAACAGCTTGAAGCCAGCTTGCCAGGTGAGCAGCAGATAGGAGAGGGGGGGGAGGGAGGGAGGGAGAGAGAGAGAGAGAGAGAGGAAAGAGAGAGAGAGAAAGAAAGAGTGGGGGAAGAGGACTGGCAGACCAAGGGCAGATAGAGAGGGAGGGAGAGAGAGAGAGAGAGAGACCCTTTTGACATCTAAAATGAAAACACTGCATATATCCTTTTTTACCTGTGTGTGTGTATACACACACACACACACACACACACACCCCTATAATAAAGGTAAAAAAGGATATATGCAGTGTTATCTTCATTTTAGATATCAAAAGGGTTTTGCGGCTCTCGGTGTTTTGTTTTCGGTGGGAAACGGGTCCAAGTGGCTCTTTGAGTGTTTTGGGTTGCCTACCCCTGCCCTAGCCCTTCCCCATAGTCCGTCTGTGTGTAGCCAATCAGACCCACCGAAATGTTTTGGGAAACGCTGAGGTGTTTGGGTTGGTGAAATTCCACTCTTGGGGCAAATGGCCTTGAAGCCAGCGCACCAGCACAAACCAGATTCCAAAACACTCTGTTCTTCCTCAACTATCAACTCCCCCCTCCTAATTTCCCATAATAAAGGTATACAGCTTTATTGTCCATTTGTTCCCCCC